GTTTCGGCTGTTTAGGGTCCCTTAAGATGCTATGTGAATTTTAGGATTAATTTTCCTATTTTTGCAAAAAAAATCAATCCCATTTTAATGGGATTGTATTGAATCTGTAGATTACTTTGAGTAGTATTGACATCATCTTAACAATATTAAGCCTGCCAGTCCATGAACATGGGATGTCTTTCTGTTTATTCATGTCTTCTTTTATTTCTTTAAGTGTTTATTGTTTTCAGTGTACAAAGTCATTCATCTCTTTGGTTAAGTTAATTTCTAAGTATTTTATTCTTTTTGAGGCTATTTTATTATTATTATTTGTTTTAAATTTATTTTGAGAGAGAGAGTGGGGTGGGGGGAGTAGAGAGAGAGAGAATCCCCAGTAGGCTCCACAGTCAGCATGGAGCCCAGCGTGGGGCTCAGTCTCATGATCGTGAGATCAAGACCTGAGCCTAAGTCAAGAGTTTGATGCTTAACCGGCTGAGACACCCAGGTGTTCCTTTTTGAGGCTATGTTGAATGGAGTTGTTTTCTTAATTTCCTTTTCAGATTGTGTATTGTTAGTGTATAGAAATGCAACTGATTTTTGCATGTTGATTTGTATTCTACTTTACTGAATTTGTTCATTAGTTCTAACAGTTTTTTTTTAATGGCATCTTTAGGGTTTTTTACATATTAGCTTGTTATCTATGAATAGAGATAATTTTATTTCTTCTATTCCAAGTTAGTTGCCTATTATTTCTTTTTCTTGCCTAATTCCTCTGGCTAGCACTTCTAATAATATGTTGAATAGAAGTGGTAAAAATGGGCATTCTTTTTTTTTTTTTTAATGTTTATTTTTGAGAGGGAGTGCGAGCAGGGGAGGAGCAGAGAGAGAGAGGGACTGAGTATCTGAAGTGTGCTCTGCACTGTCAGCAGTGAGCCCAGTGTGGGGTTCTAACTCATGAACCATGAGATCATGACCTGAGCTGAAGTCGGATGCTGAATCAACTGAGCAACCTAGACACCCCGAAAATTGGCATTCTTGACTTGTTCCTGATCTTAGAGAAAAAGCTTTTAGTTTTTAACCACTGAGTTTAATGTTAGCTGTGAGTTTTTATATAGGTCTTTATTATGTTGAGGTCATTTCCTTTTATTCCTAGTTTGGTGAGTGTTTTTGTTTTTTTTTAACCACAAAAGGGTGAATTTTGTCAAATGCTTTTTCTGTATCAAGATATTCAAGTCATTTTTTTTCTTTCATTTATTAAGATGGTGATTATGTTGATTGACTATTGTATGTTGAACTCTTCTTGCATTACAGGAATAAATTGCACTTGGTCATGCTATATAATCTATTTAATGTTTTGCTGCATTTGGTTTGCTAGTATTCTGTTGAGGATTTACTGAAAGTTTTGAACTAGGAGACTAACTGGTAATTGTAAGGGGAATGGGATGAATGGCCAGAGAGTGGAAATAGATGACTCGTTAGCAAGCTCTTACTTCTTGGGCATGTTTTCTCTCTCTCTCTCTCCCTGTCTCTCTCTCTCTCTCTCTCTCTCTCTCTCTCTCTATATATATATATATATATATATATACACACACACACACACCATATATACATATATCTTAATGTTTACTGATTTTTGAGAGAGACAGAGCATGAACAGGGGAGGAGCAGAGAGATAGGGAGACACAGAATCAGAAACAGGCTCCAGGCTCTGAGCTGGCTGCACAGAGCCCGACGCGGGGCTCGAACCCACAAACTGTGAGATCATGACCTGAGCCAAAGTCGGACGCTTAACTGAGCCACCCTGGTGCCCCGGGCATGTTTTCTTAGACTAAACTAATTCTTTCCAGAACTTGTCAGATATCACCAGAAACACCACCATTTGTTTACCCAGTTGCTTTGGACAAGCACTTTTGAGTCATCTTTGATTTGTCTCTCTCATCTACATCCCACATTCAAACTGTTAACAAATTCTATAGCGTTTACCTTGAAACATTATATATTCCAAATTGAGTCATTTGCACACACTCTACTCTTTCTGTTTGGAATTTTCTTGTTTGTTTAATAGTGGAAAGCTATTACCATCCCTAGGGTTTAAATTATTTTTAATGTTTATTTTTGAGAGAGAGAGCATGAGTGGGGGAAGGGCAGAAGGGGAGACACAGAATCTGAAGCAAGCTCCAGGCTCTGAGCTGTTAGAACAGAGCCCAGTGTGGGGCTCAGACTCATGAACCCTGAGATCATGACCTGAATCAAAGTCCAATATTAACCGACTGAGCCACCCAGGTGCCTCTGGGATTTTTTTTTTTTTTTTAAACTAGTCTTTATGCCCAGTGTAGGGCTCAAATGCATGATCCTGAGATCAAAAGTCCCATGTTCTCCCAACTGAATCAGCCAGGCACTTCTACTCTTTTTGTTTTAGTCTAAGTTACCACCATCTTTAACCTGGACTCTTTTCAATTTACCCTTCCTTCTTGCCCCCCACAGTCCATTCTTTTTTCATTTATCAGCCAGGACTGTTCTTTTAAAATATGTTATAACATGTGGGGGCACTTAGGTGGCTTAGTCAGTTGAGCGCCCAACTCTTGACTTTGGCTTGGGTCATGATCTCCTGGTTCGTGGGTTTGAGCGCTGCATCGGGCTCTGTGCTGATGGTGTGGAGCCTGCTTGGAATTCTCTCTGTTTCAAAATAAATAAATAAACTTAAAAAAAAAACAACAACATGTCATAACATGTTACTTCCTGCTCATAGCTCTTCACTGGCTTCCCAACTTGGAATAAAAGTTTAAGTCCTTATCACGTATCATAAGGTCATACAATATTTGGCTTCTAGTTAACTTTTCAGCCTTATCATTTAGTTACCTCTTTAATCACATTGATCTCTTCAAATAACATTAGGTAGGTACTTTGTTGCCTCTTAAGTCTTTGCATTTATCATCTCTGTGTCTGAATGCTCTTCCCTCAGAAATTTAAACATTTCTGTTCTTCATTTTTAGGTTTCTGCCAAATATTACCTGCTTAGAGTTACCTTTGTCCACTCTATTCTAAAATAATACTCCCTACCCGTCAAACTCGTCTCTCACCCTGTTTGATTTTTCTTCATAGCTTTATCTGACATGAATGTATATATTTATTTGTTGTCTATTTCCTCTAACTAGAATTTAACTAAAAATTTGGAAGAAAAATGAAGCTGTCTTATGGCCATGTTTGATTTTCTATACCTTAGGTAAACTTTACTTATGTTAAGACTGAATATAGTAACAATGAATAAAATTAGGAATAGACCAGTCTTTGTTTAAGTGCATTGTAGGGGTGGAGGAGAGCGAACAAACTACTTCTGATTTTTCAATTTGTTGGGAACTACATGTATCAAAAATAAGAGAATGTCTCTTGACTAAAATGTGGTAATAGAAAATGCCATTATTATAATATTAAACAAATGATATGGTCTTCGTTGTGGTAAAAAAAAAAAAAGTAAAGGAAATAGGACGAGATTGTGTGGATGATTTTCTTCTTTGTATTTTCCTATGTTTTATGTAGCTTTTGCAGTTAGCATGTATTTTTTTAAAAAATCAAAATAATAGGGGCACCTGGGTGGCTCAGTTGGTTGAGTGTCTGACTCTTGGTTTCGGCTTGGGTCATGGTATCACGGTTTGTGGGTTCAAGCTTGCATCAGGCTTCGTGCTGACAGTGCAGAGCCTGCTTGGGATTCTCTCTCTCCCTCTGTCTCTCTCTGCCCCTCCCTCCCTCACTCTGTCTCTCAAATAAATAAACTTAAAAAAATTTTTAAAAATCAGAATAATAAATCAATCTTTAAAAATCGTGTATATATAATATAGTCTCTCTTTAGCTTTTTGGTTTAAGTTGGCTTTCAAACTTTCAGTAGAATCAGGGTTTTGGGAACATTTTGCCTAGTATTAGATGGATAAAAGAACAGAAAGAAATCAAATGTAAATGGTATTCTGTATAACAAATGTGATGATAGTGTCTAGGATGTTTTCCTGTGACCGTTTAATCTGGTATCATGTGCAGATCAGAGAGGATTCAAGAATTTCTCCTCCATCTGAAACAATCTTTTTGCTGCAGCAAAATTATCCACAGAATTATCAGCTAAGTGTTTTACTTACAGTATTTTGGCTTTGATGTAGCATTTCAGAATTTATGAAGACAGTACAGTAGAACAAGTTTTAGTTTTTAATGTTTAATAATAACCTCCCCCCAAAGACTTCTTAATCTTCCAGTACTTACAACATTTCTGTCTCTTGTTCATTTCCATATCCCAGGTGTCTTAAATTAAATCTGGCATATAGAAGGTGAATATTTGTTGAGTTAATATATTTATGTTCTTCTATCCTAAATATAAGGACATTAAAGTAGACAAAAAATTTTTTTATGTTATTGTTAAATGTTACATTAATAGGAAAAACAGGAAGAAAGTGAGCTTCGTTCTCTGCCACCTCCTTCTTCTGCCCACTTGGCTGCTTTAAGTGTTGCAGTTATTGAATTAGCAAAAGAACACGGAATAACAGATGATGACCTCAGAGTCCGTCAGGAAATTGTGGAGGAAATGTCAAAGGTTATAACAACATTTTTACCAGGTACAGATACGCTTTATGCTTAATTAGTAAAATCATACAACTTTTCCCCTTGCTTCTTGCTAAACTTAGTATAAATTTCTTAATGTTTCCTTTCTGTTTGTTTCTCCCATCTTAAAAGTAGATGAATTTAATTATTTTATAAGTGAGTTTTTGGGAAATATTTCAGAAAAGTAAAATAGAGAATTATGACAATAAGAAGAGTTTTAAAATGTCAGATATAGGAAAATTTCTTATAGGTCAAATATTATATTTTATATTATTTTTCAGTATCTTTGACTTCTGAGTGGACATTTTAATTATATTATTTTCAGTGCGTATATTCCAGCTAGTCACTGAAAAAGATTCTTATGGCTGATGGTGGGGAAAAATTAATTTACTTTAAGTAGGGTCATTACAAGTAAAATTTGCCCTTTTATTTCTTTTTGACTCTGCTCTTTCTTTACAGAAAGCTTATATTTTTGGTGTAAGGGGGAATTGTGCCAGGTTTATTGTAGACATTTATATAAAGATTATATTTGCTTAACACTTAATACAGTTTTTGCATCAATATTGAATTTAAGTAAATGTCTATTCAATAAAACTTATTTCTCACCACCAGCGGGATTTTGGACAGTTGACAAATTACAGTTTTATATAGAGCCATTTGTGAGATTTATAAGAAAATATAAAATTGAAATTAAAAAATGGAAAACATTTTCATTTCATTTCATATCTGTAATGTGGTTTTCTACCTAAAGTATAATGAATACTAATTTAAATTATATACAGAAATAATTTACTATTTTGAGAAGAAAAATGCAGACACCTGGCTGGCTCAGTCGGTAGAGCCTGCAGCTCTTGATCTTGGGGTTGTGAGTTCGAGCCCCATGTTGTGTGTGGAGCCTACTTTAAAATTTTTTTTTTTTTAATGTTTAATTTTTGAAGGTGAGAGACAGAGCATGAGTGGGGGAGGGGCAGAGAGAGAGGGAGACATAGAATCCAAAGGAGGCTCCATTCTCTGAGCTGTCAGCACAGAGTCCCACATGGGGCTCGAACTCAGAAACCATGAGATCATGACCTGAGCTGAAGTCGGGCGCTTAACCGACTGAGCCACCCAGGCGCCCCTGTGGAGCCTACTTTAAAAAAATAAGTAAAATATATTAAAAAATGGACAGAAAGGAAGTTTTTATGATGTTAATGATTTCAGTGATTTTCAGATGTTTTGTGAACTTGAACAGTAGACTTCTATCTATACAAATGAGTATAAACTCACACTTTCTAAGAAACTGAACCTGCCTGAGTAGTCCCAATCATGTTATTTTCAACTTGCCCTCTGGTGAGATCCTTTTAAAATTTACCTTACGATGATTTTTGAATAATGTATTTGATAGTTTGAAAAAGATATAAGTTGTATGTTATTATTCCTATATATTTTGGTCTATGAAATCTTGAAACACCACAGGGTTTTTTGTTTGTGTTTTGTTTTTTCTTGGGGGGGCAGTTTAGGTTTATAATATCAAGTGATGAGCCTTCATTTTGTATTTTTTTTTTTTTTAAATTTTTTTTTTCAACGTTTATTTATTATTTTGGGGACAGAGAGAGACAGAGCATGAACGGGGGAGGGGCAGAGAGAGAGGGAGACACAGAATTGGAAACAGGCTCCAGGCTCTGAGCCATCAGCCCAGAGCCCAACGCGGGGCTCGAACTCGTGGACCGCGAGATCGTGACCTGGCTGAAGTCGGTTCATTTTGTATTTTTAAAGAGCATTGGCATTCAATGTCTGTGATCCCTTCCCCATTTAAAGTGCTATTATCTCTTACATAAATATAAATATCTAAGAGTAAATAAATGTAGTTTATGACAGTAGCTATACCTAGGTTAGTACATTTTCACTATTACATATTAAATATCAAACATACTTCTAGTCATTCCTAAATGAACTATTACTAATATTTTGTGTGTAAACACTGGACTTTTATGAGTAATTTCTTCCTTCTCTGTCCCTGAATCCCATAACTGAGAAACATTTTTATTTTTTTGCATATCAGTTAGAAAGGATGTCATTCTTCTGTAAATGTTGTCCTAGAATTGAAGACACAGAATTGAAATATATGTAATTTTCCTATTACCGTTCTTAAGAAATTTCTCATATTTGCACACTATTTCATGCTTTCATATTTTTTCCTTTATTTCCAGAGTGTTCACTTAGGTTGTATGGCTCATCTCTGACTAAGTTTGCTCTGAAAAGTAGTGATGTTAATATAGATATAAAATTTCCTCCCAGGGTAAGTAATTATGAAAACACTTTTTTATGTGGTTCTTAACTAGTACTTGGTAATTTTTAGTTGATTATCTTTTTAGAGAAGGTGTAGGGGACTATAAGATTTTGGTTTATAGTGTAATTAAATGTGATTTTGGAAAAAATATAGGTGGAATAAAAATAAGGGAGAGAAAGAAGGAAGCAGGGGAATGCAGTAAAAAGGGAAAATGCTTGTACATATTTGATGGTATTGAATAGTTATCACTTGTAGGCAGTATAGAAAGTGAAAATAACTTTAAAATCATACTTCTGTGTTCAAGTCTTGGCTGTGATGAGCAAGTGACTTGGCCTTTTTATGACTCAGTTTTTTAATTTCTAAAACAGGGATAATAATAACTTTTATATTAAATAAGATGCTGTATACCAAACATTTTTGTATAGTGTGCCTGGTACATTCTGGGTACTTACCATAAGTAGTAATTAGCACTGCTAACATTATTTATTTATTGACCTATGAAACATTTAAAATAGTTGGTTGACATTTTACATGTTATTAAATAATTTTAATGCTTAGGTGAAAATTAATGATTTAGGTGAAAACTTGATGTTTTAATTTCTTATCTCATACAGTTATTTACTTACCATTAGTACATGATTATTAAATACTTTAGCAGCAAAGTACATACTAAACTAAGCATTTGACAAGTTTGTATTTTAAAGTAGTATTTAATCTAAACCTTTTGACCATGCTGCCAGTTACCAGTATCTCTTAAATTTCCTGTCTCAACAACTTCTCTTTGAAGGCTATTTGGCAAACTGGTTTCTTTTCTGTTTATTTTGCTGTGAAATTCCAGAATCTTTTCTCATTCTAAGAACTTACTAATTCTAGAAATATTGCTGGAAGAATAGCACTACATGATTTATTATATTCTAGTTCCATGAACAAGATATGTTACCATAAAAGTGTTTTAACTATTCTTTTTTCATTATTTTAAAATAGATTGGTTTTATTTAAATATTTAATGAAATCGAATTCTCTCTAATGTTTGCACCTTGAACTTTGAAATTAGTATATTGATTTACTTTGAATTTTTTTAGATGAATCATCCAGATCTTCTGATACAAGTGCTTGGGATTTTAAAAAAAAGTGGTAAGTTTCTTTTTTTTTTGTCTTTCTAAAGAAAATTCTTTGAGGGTATGTGCACTGTGTTTTTTATATATGGCTAACCAAGTTTAACACTTGTAGTAGCATATGTGAGTCATTATATTACATACATTTACATATTTGTTGAATAGGTGTGCTATAAAATTTACATGTCATTAGATAAAAAGTATATTTAAAATTGGTATGTAAAAAAGTACTGCCTATTGGGTAATTTACAAATGTTATGGACATTTCTTGTGTAAAAGAAGACAGAAAACCTGTAATCATTAGGAAGTCACTGATGAAGGAAGATTTAGGAGAGACTTGGGAAAAAATGTGTGCTGCATGCATTGAGTAAGTATTTTTTTTTCCACTTAAAATAATAATTTAATTAATCATTTATATTACATCAACCAAGTCATACCTAGTATGTTTCTCATATCTTTCTTGTCTGTCTGGATTGTTTTTGATGTAAAATGGACATTCGTATAGGTAAAAATACTTTCAAAATAAAAAAGTTTTTAAATTACATCTGTCTTAAACCACCCCCTAAGTCAGGTAGTACAATATTATTTTCTTGTTTTTTTATTTATTGCTTTTCTTGTTAAAAGTAAATGCCTAAGAGCTCAGGATATGGAGCCAGACTTAACTGGGCTCAGATTTTACTTCTGCCACTTATTGGTTGTATCCTTTGACAAATTACTGAAGTGTTAATGCTTCAGTTTTCTTATCTATAAAATGGCAGTAATATAGTGTGTGTTTTTTTTTTTTTAAGGTTACTTATTTTGAGAGAGAGAGAATACAAGCAGGGGTGGGGCAGAGAGAAGGGGGAGAGAGAATTCTAAACAGGCTCCATGCTGTCAGCCCAGAGCTGAACATGGGCCTTGAGCTTACAATCTGTGAGATCATAACCTGAGCCGAAACCAAATGTCAGATGCTTAACTGACTGAGCTACCCAGGCAGTCCAGTATAGTATCTTTTTGATGAGAAGATTGTTGGGAGGATGAAATGGGTTAAGCCACAGCTTAGAAGTGCTTGGTTTACATGCAGTGACTTCTTACTAAATTTTTGCTGCTGTGATTGTTGTTATTAATCCTATTATCATCTTAAATTTTATGAGTTACAAATATCTGGCAAAAATATTTTCAGTTTGGCTTAGAAAAGATCACTTATTGACCCTCCTTTACCCTGTCATTGACTTCATAGTCAGCTCTAACTTCCTTCTCTCTCTCTGTTTCTCTCTCTCTCTCTCTGCCCTGTCAGCTCGCCATTATTTGTCAGCTTCTTGTTAGTCATTTTCCTGGGAAATTAGTTTTTATGAAAATAATTCGATGTAATTAATCTTGTAAAGGGATTTTAATATAGTTTTCTTTCGTAATAAATACTTGCCTGTTACTGCACAAAACTAAAGCATATTACAGATAAGAGATAGATATAGAGCTTTTACCTCTTTAGAGTCACTGGACAGTATCAGCCTAGCAAACATATATTAAATACATGACTAGATCATCTTAAGTCACATAACACAGGTTTATAAAATTCAGTCTGATTCAAAAATTATTACCTTCTTTAAGCCTTCATTGTATTCCTTTAAGATCTCTGTCTTGTTATTTACAGGATTTGTGTATGTTTTGCAAACCCTTAATTGAGCTCTTTGTGTCTTACTAATTAATTGTCATAACCACTATGCATAATGCAATTCCTGGCATATAAATCTTCAGCACATGAATTTTTAATAAATTAATAATCCCAACAAGTACTACTAAGAGATTTTCTTTTAACTTCAGATGAAATAAATTAAACTATCTATTTTCATCAGATTGGACATTTATGTCATGGGGCCTTCCTGGGAGATGTAGAGAAAGACTTCAGAGTGGAAGTGTGCTTTACCCTCTTCTTCCTTAGGCTCTTTGATTGATTAGGGCAAGCTTTTCATATAGTAACAGGAAATGGGGCCAGCAGAGTTAGCCTTTTACTTGCATGGATAACTTAAAACAACTAAATTGTCAAAGCATTGTAGGTTTTCATTTCATGACTCCTTTGGAAATAGAAGTAAGTGGTGTTTGTTGTTTGCCATATTTTTGAAGGTTTAATCACTTTGACTAGATTATATACTTACTGGGAAATGTTCAAATTTTTAGAGATGTTAAGACCTTTCTTCTTAAGCTGATTATAATTTTTGGACAATATTTGGGACTGTGCCTGTCATTTATGATATATAGCAAATGACACCAAGAGAGGTAGGAGATTCTGTTGGGTTGATGCTTATAATGTGGAGTGTGTATTATCCCACAGAAGCAACACAAATGATTTTTAGAAGGAAACTATCACTTAATGTTTACCATAAAGTAAATATTTGAGAGATGTTGGCAATAGCTTACTTGTTTTATTTTTTTCCTTATTAGTATTATATATAGATGTGGAATCTGATTTTCATGCCAAAGTTCCTGTTGTGGTGTGCAAAGATCGGAAAAGGTTAGTAACAATGAAAAGAAAATAGTTTTTGAAATAACAAGTAAATATACAGTGAACATTTCCAAGGCAGAAAATTTTATTTTGTTTTGTTTATTTTATTTTATTTTATTTTATTTTATTTTATTTTATTTTATTT